TCTGGAGCCGGTTCATCCTTTCCAACGAGTCAGCCACAGTAAAGTAGAGTGAGCAGTATCGCCTCCGCGAGTAATAACGAACCTTTTTTCTTATAAAGAATATGGTACCGTGATTTGTTTGACACAGTCTGAACTCAGGCCTGTGTGGGAACATATACAATACCAGCTAAGTTGTGCAGTCAGACTCCTTATTTATCTCACTTACGCCTACTTTCCTTGAGGCTTTTCTCCTAAATAAAAGAACAAAATTGCGACCATTGCCAGTAGCCACAGTCTGCTCCAAGTGCCACTTCCCTTTCCACCATTGTGGTCATTCTTCACGCTATCCTTTGAGGAATTCGCATAAGAAGAGTCAGCTTTGCGAACGTCAACCAGGGCAACCAAGGTCAAAATCCATCGTTTTCGCTTTGATCGTACGCCGGAATTCGCCTTTATTCCGATTGACATTTGAATCGCTTTCTTGATTACCAACCAGTCTTCACTGAGTCGTTCGGTTAAAGGTTGAACTGATCGGTGATCAGGAAGTTCCGCTTCGAAGGTCGTTTTACAACCATGACTGACACTATTGTGGATATCAGTCTCCGGTGACTTTTCTGCGGGTGTTTACCAGACGTAGAGAGAATCTGGCTCGTAGCAGGATATAGTCCGTGTCCACCGTTTTTGATCAGAAGCAGCGGCAGTCCAATGGATGCTCGCTAGCGGTAGCTGAGTGCCCTGTGATCTATTTGAGTCCATCACTGGAAAGGTTGGCGGTTTCCGTGTAGGGCAGGGTCGTCTCTTGCTCGAGGAGCTTTTGTTTAACAGTAGCGGTCTGTGATCCGCGCAGAGTTAGATCAGGCGTTCTCCGTTGCCCATCCGACCAACAGCGTCTGCTTCGGATGCTTAATCACCCGACGTACGAAACGTGAAGCGTGACGTTGAGGTAGAATTTGGAGGTCGTGAAGTGGGGACTGAAGTAGGTTCTTGTTTGCGTGTTTCGGAGATACCGTGTGCATCTAAATTGTAAGTTACAACGATTCTGGTTAAGTCAGCTTTTTGACCATTCTGATGGAGTGCGGACGTTGAACACTGCTAGGTGAAAAGGATTTTTTACTCTAAAAAACCTAATAGCTTCTGAGTGGCTAACCTTAATGAGGAAAAGGGTTTTCCAAATTGGTGCTTTAGACTGTGGGGCACTACATACTTCGCGGTAGTTCACACCGACAAAGGGTTTTTTCTTTGGGAACCTCAGCCGGAGCCTTCGACTCAAAATTCTGACCCACGGAGCAGTGGGACGTAGGTTCAACACGAGAGCATGATCAAAGAACCCATGTGGGAGCTGCTGGAGACCTGTCACAGGTCTTCAGGTTTCCGCTCACTTTGTTGTTTGCTGGTACGTTGATTATCGATGCGCTGTTCGGGATTGAGACACTAATGGCTGCAGATCATAACAGTCAAAGTTCCATTGTCCACAACAAGTAATGACCGAGACACTCCCTATATACTTCGTTTGTGGCACGCGAAAGCGAGTCTTTTGCTGTGGTCAACAACCTGAGTCAAATAATTGACCTCCCCACGGACATTCCTGATCGTATCTTTATATTGCACACTTCCATACCCGGCAAACCACGATCCACTGGTGGTTTAATCAGGCATGTTTACCACCGTGCTGTTACTTTTAAAAAACTCAACAATCCGTCGTTGGCGCCACTCACCCAACCGCTTCTTGGAAGCGAGAAATAAGTGCTCGCCCACCATACAGAGAGCTAAAAGATCTTGAATCTCTCCCCATTCCATGGAAAAATGCCACTATTTTTTTTATCCCAGAGCACGGTGACCCTTGTGAACCGAACAACTACCATTCCACCAATCTCAATTCTGTTATTTTGAAGGTGCTTGAAACCATCTTCTCCGACCAGCTGCGTACGTTTCTCGAACATGTAGGTTCGTTGAATGACAGTCATTATGGATTTCGCCCTCGTCGATCTACGAGTGACATACTGGCGCTCACGTCACATACCTGGTTGTCTGCACTAGGTTACCACAAAGAAACTCACATGATCTCGCTCGACATTTCAAAGGCGTCCGACCACGTTTGACATGAAGGTCTGCAGCCGAATTTGCCCACGTTCGTATTCCACTCGTCTCTTGCATCATAGACCCAATGTTTCCCCAGCAAACGGAACTTCTCCGTCCGAGTCGATGGTTTTCTATCACAGACGACTCCCTGTAAATGCCGGTGTTCCCGAAGGTTCCGTACTCTCACCCACACTTTTCTGTTTATCAACGATCTTTTGCTAAGAAGCTCTAATCCTGCGCACTGCTTTACCGATAAATACACTTTCCATTATTGTCTTACTCCATAGCCCGTCAGGCCACTACCAGTAACGATCACGCCACAATGTCAGTGTTTTACCTGCCTCCCATCTAAGACTCATTTCCACATGAGGTTCTACCAACCTTTTGCTTTTCAATGCTTCCAAAACTTCTCTCCATCTCTCTCAAACACGTCCTTTATTCTCTTCAATTGATTTTCGATTTGCTGCCCCATCGTTCCACGAATTCTCCCTCCTGGTTTTATCCATGAATCCCTTCTGTTGGTCTCCATTTGTTTCCACACTTGCCTTTCACAAAGTCGGTTTTCTATTCCATTCAGAGCGCTTTCATAAAAGCTCAAATCCGCCCGATGCTCGAATACTAGTGATGTATGAGGTGAAGTTTCGTATTCCACTCGTTCCTCGGCCGTCCGGCTGATCGACGATTCGTCTTTAACTTCCAACTCGTCCATTTTCCATTGCCGAACAATTACTCCTTTATCTGTTCTATTGTTACTATTTTGGTTTCCGCTCTTATAAACTTTCTTCAGCGGTTCCCCTCCCCGTGGCCTTTACTTGTTCTTAGGGGACAGCTACCCTTGTAAGGATTCTGTCCCCAGAAACGTCCAACATCTATCCTACAGTCGTCTGTCTCCCAGGAGTGCGAAATATAGAACACTTTCCATCTCCGTGATTCCGATCTCTTATAATCCTGCTCTCCTCAGTTTGATTCGCACTGGAATGTTCTCTCACATACCTTCTCCTTTGCAGTATGTCGTTGACTATGGAGTTTACCGCCTCCGAAAGCCTCAGTATAGTCGGGGATGGGTGTTCTGGGTTGTCGCTGATCACTCTTCCTTTGTATCACTCGAAATTCTCCCATACGATCTGCCTTCTCGTGGCGGTGTTTCCCGCCAAAGTGAGAGGATGAAAAGCCAACGTTCGGGGCTATTATCGGATTGGTGAACCACTGGTAGTTCACCTAGGAGACTTGGGCAAAACCACTGATTCCAAAAACAACCAAGAGGCGCACGAACAACACGCAAGCCTTCCTGGTTGTGGCAGTTGTCACCGGCTCGATTAGGCATCAAGGCGTATGGGGCACCTTGGACGTCTAACCCCGCCCAAAGGGCGTTTGATCTGATGAACTGGACATCGGCCCCCAATTGACTGCGTACTCAGCTCCGTCCTGTTCTCTTGCAGGTGTGGCTTTCTAGCCAAAGGCTTCGGATGGGGATCCTAAGGTTACCCTCCTTTGGTCAGGGTGACCCGGAAATAGCATGCCCACACAAACTGTGAACACATTCTACCGATTTCTTTTTGTTTGTTTGTTGTGGCATATTTGCCGGTTCTCTGTAATTGGTTACATGTTGAAATAATAATAAATAATGGCTTTTACCCCTTTTGCTGTAAATCACATAGTGTAATAAAAATGCACCCGGTAGTACGTGGAATGGACAGTGTCTTATTAGCTGGTGGCTACCCAGCTTGGTCGGGCAGTTTTGTTCCAACGAATTACGAAGGCCACCGTTGGGAAGACTCCCCTGGGTACCCCGTTCCTACGTCCATCTAGTGGGCTTTTTGACCGATAACTTACCCATCCCCATGTTTATTTCCTAAAGGAAGAGAGTGGATAGTCAAAAACGACAGGAGGTGCCCAAACAGCTGAGCTTTACCCATTGACCTTTCAGGTATAATTCGATCTGCGGCTGTTGGGAGCCTTTCTGTGTAGCTCGCAGGGTTATGGAGGCGCCCAAGTCATCCCACCACGTCTGGATGCAGTCTCGTCGTGATGGCAGTTGTTGTATACAACAACGCCTCATTTATCGTTCGACTCTAGGTTGGAAGAGATCAGGTGGAGGTCAGCAGATGACCCGGATACGAGGCCGGAAGAAATGCACTGCGTTTGGGTAGACTTGGTTTCTCCGGTCTTCCAGAAGACTAACTGCTTAATTGGATACAAGGGTATGCAACTAACGGACAGGAGCGGCGTTGTTATGGTCATTTCTTATCTGGTCAGAACGCTTGAAAAGGTATATATGCACACATTTAAGTTGTGTACTCTGCGTTGAGCCTAGAGATTCATTTTACCTTCCCCCAATCACGCCCAATCCCTGTCCACGTTATGCATTACCATTCACCTAATTTGACAGTAATCCGTGAAGTTCGGTCCACTGTATTTTACTGCACGATGAGGTTGAGGATACTGAAGACCCATTAAACTAAAAGCATTTACGTGTGCAGTTGTTTCGCCTAGTGTGCACCATCCGAAGTAGCCTACGTCATTTTTCCCTTTCATTAGACAGTCGTTCTTTGTAAAATAAACTTTCCTTTATGTTGTGATCTTCCGGGTTCGCTTCATCGTATTCGTCTGTGCCATCGTCTGATACTTTATACAGACGGTCTGAGAACCGAATTACTGATAGCTAGTGTGTTTCAAATTGAATTTAATAGGCTTTTCCCCACTTGGTTTCTGTCCCTTACTGTTGGACCCAAGTTTCGAAATGGTCGCTACACTTCTCATTATAATTTACATTCCCAGGCTCAAATGGAAGCCAAAAAGTTTGATCAACTTCAAAGTGTATTGTACGGTGAACTTTCTGTGGAATCGAAGAAACTTCGCGCTTTGGTAAGGATAAGCGAAGCCAAACTCGCTATCCACAAAGAAAAGTGAGTAACCAATATACTATTTGTCTATAAGGCTTCAATACATTTATGTCTGATGATCATCCTTTGTTCCCGAGCGATGTTCTAGATGATAGTCGAGACTTACGTTACATATCTTAGCTGGTGTTGTTCAAATGTACCAGTTCATTCATTGAACTAATCCGATCTCATTTTTATTTGTAGACAATCGGCATTACAGGAGTTGATGGACGCCATTGAAACTCGACGACATTTACCAAGTTTGTCTTTCTCTGATGATGTACTAGGATGTTCAACTCTCGCTGGAAACCTGTAACCATCAACCCACATGTTCCTACATTTCTTGTGGTCCTTGTATCTTTCTTGTGTATATCTTGGAGAATTTTCCCACAGTTCTGTTGTAAATTAATACGGCTCATTTGGTTTGTGGAGAACTGTTTTTTTCCGTCCAACGCATGGACAGTCTTGTTTTAATGCTTGCTTCCCGGTTGGCTGGATCTCGGTTATCCTAGTCCAATTTTGCTGTGTATGGTAATTTCTCCGCCGAAAATCCCACCCACCGTTCCCCTTGTCTACACTCCTTACCTTATTTTCCTACACAACTTATCAGTTCCATCATATTGTGTATTGTCGACGCAATCGAGTTGTAGCTATTGGGGAATGATTGTACAGTTGTACACTTTCTAGACATACAGATCAATTAACAATGCTTACGTTTGGCTTAGTTTCCTCGTTGGGTTGTGTTCATTCTCAGAGCGACATTTTTTGGCATTTCCTTGATCTGGATCCACATGTGGGAAACTATTAGCATCTGCAAGGAATGATTAAACAATTAATTTACAAAATAGATCATGCTTACTGTTAAATTAGTGAGTAGACTGACTCTTGTACACTAATGTCACCTTTCATCTCTGACCTACACGAGTGATGTTTCAATCTGTTAACGTGCTTGATTTCCAAAGTAGGATTGTTGCCAGTTGTGAAAAAGAGGCAAAAGTGGACTGGCGTTATGAAATGAAAAGTGTGAGCAGATTGAACTTATAAAGACTGCTGGTGCTAGGCAGCTTTGCTGCCGTTCGGTTCAATACCACACCAGAAACATCGAAGCCTTATGTGGTTCATCACTCCAAGTCCCGGGGCTTCGGTTACCGGTTTCCATCACTGAATAGCAGGTTTGCTGTTCATCACACTGAGGTATCATAAAAAGTGTATGCAGCAGAGTCAAAGCTAGGAGGGAGAACTGATCTGAGTTACTATCTCACTAAGGTTCTGCACGAATATTCTACTGTTTTTCACGTAGTAAAAACATTTATATTTCCGCACACAGGTTAAAGAGCCGCGTCTTTTGCACATTTATGAATAGTTTTCGGAGTACCCAGTTTGACGAACGACTTTTGGGTATAGGGTATTGTTGCGTGTTGTTTATTTTGCAGTTTAAAATAAGGTTAAATTATGGTCTAACCAGAAAAGCTTTTGTTAAGTTATGCAACACCTAATTGGCTGCTCGAAGACTGGATATGGGACAAAAAAGTCCCGAAGAATCATTGTGATGGTCCTTTATCAGGTATTGCGGGTTCAATGCGTCTAACCCCAGTCAATTCGACACTAGGGCCGGTTTTCTGTGTTATGATGAGTAGATAAATCCTCATCCGGATGCGCATACCTGACGAGCTGCGAGGACCGCGAAACCAGTCATTTGCTTCAGTCATTCATGTACTACTCATTATAAAAACATTAGATTATTACTGAATATAGGTGGAGAAGTATTCGAGTCGGAATGGGCGGGATTAATACTTCAGTTTAAAAAACCCGGTACGGAGTGGATGTAGTCCACTAATTCGTGACGTGTGCCAGACGATGGACAGGGTAACCTGGCAAGCGGCATCATTCTACGGGGATTTCGGTAATCACAATGCGGTGTTTTTATAGAGGCCAACTACTACCAAACCTTTCTCCCAATGTGCTCGTTTGGTTTTGGAACTAGTAAATTTACCGAGTGAACGCGACCTCTTTCTGTATTGTTTGGGCTCCTCGATGGTTTGCGCTTGTGGTTGTCTGGTGATTCGCTACACATCGTTTCCGTATGCAGTTTTCGACTTAACGAAATTCTGAGTTTTTCTTTGGATTGCTGCCCATGTTCACTTATTGCAGAATCATTGCACTGGAAAAAAACTGATTAACGAGCTAGGAGGTAAGTCGTGAGTGAGTTTCGTGCTACCGTCAATGCCCATGTTAATGCAACGTAAATGATCCGGGTTACGTATTGATGCGCAGCCGCCTGCCTTGGAGTTCTCGTGGATTTTATTGGACCTCAGTTGAAAATACTGCAAGTCATTGGAACATGGTGCGGGGCACGTTGATATTTACTATAGTTGGAGTGCTTCGAAATCCACTCGACTGTCTCCTGGGTACAACTTCTGTGTTTTGGTTTCTCGTTATAAGAACGTGGGACTGAGTTCAATGCGATCCTGGCTTTTGTGCTGATTCCCAACGTACAGTACATAGGACTGTGTGGTGTATATGGTCGCTGTTCAAGAAGGAAACAGGTGGCGCACCGTTCAAGTGTCGCGGTAATTCTTCGAGCGATTTGTCAGTCAGTGCGAAAAGCTAACACGAATCGAACGTCTAAATAAGGAAGTAATTGACCCTTTTGACCGCCCCCCCCCCTACTCCAAGACCCGTGAAAAACTACCTTTCATGGTCCGTAAAAATAAATATAACTTTCGGATATCTATCTATCCATCTATCTAATCTAACTAATTCGAAGCCAAAGCTTTTGAAATTCTACAACCTCGTCTGTGGATACGGTATGCCGACGAAACATTCGTCACACTCAGAGCTTCCATGGTACATCAGTTCTAACAAATGATCTACGAGCAGGTGTCTGGTATCAACTTCACACGAGAGCAAAAGAAAGATAGACAACTCACATTCCTCGATATCCTTCTCATGAGGCAACCTACAGAAGAATAGAAACCACAGTCTACAGAAAACTGACCACGGCAGACCGCATCCTCAATTACAACAGCAACCACCCCTCGTACCACCTGAAAAGATGTCTGAACTCTATTCCACCAAGTGAACACATTGCAGCACACCGGAGCTATGAACAAGAGAATTGGACTCCTCCAACTGTTCTTATCTAACGCATATCTCAGGAGTTCTATCAACGCGTGCATCAGGGTTAAAAAAACAAACAACACACAAAAGAGTGAATTTGGATAGCCTTACCCTAAATACGCGACACGTCAGCGAACGTATACTCTGACCGTTGGGAATCAAGGTAACCCATAAACCAGCATCAACCGTGAGATAGTTTCTGTTCAACGCCAATGATCAAGTGGAACAGCAAGAACGATCAGTTGTAATCTACGCAATCCTGGGCAGGCAAGCAACTACGCACTCGCCTACATCAACACGAGCTTGCCCTCCAACGCAAAAACCCGAGGTCGAAAATCTAGAACCCTTGTGCACGGACAGGTCACGAGATCGCGATCGATAAGGCAAAGGCTGTGGCGCAAGCTAAGGGAGAACGAAGCATCCTCGAAGTTCTGCACTCGGTCAGGTCGTTCAACCGACGCTTCGAGATAGACAAACATTACGTCAGACTCGCGAAACCTGTGACAATTGATGGACTGATAAACGCACAAACAGCACACGAGCGCACGGTAATCCCAATATCTCGTTCGTTCCTAGTTGGGATCGAAACGTTACAATAAAACATTTTCAACTCAGTGCACGATTCCATTCTCTCTTGATATATATATCATATTGTATATATATATATATATATATATATATATATGTGAGTAAAGGTAGGTTGTTTTGGGATAACTGCAAGCTTAGAACTGAAAATGGGCTGAATACCGCATGCAATGAACCGATACTGAGCCGAGGGTGTCACAAAAGATTTTAATTTCTTCGATAGATGAAGGATGAGCAGGACGGTATATCTAAATTCCGTTGTAAAAAACAGTACATAATTATAAACATGGGAACAAGTAACGGAATTAACGAACTTTTCACTGATCCGGTTTATTTTTTCATAAAACTTTGCAATCGACTTTTTATACTACTTCATACCATCTACTACTGACTAACAGGCTATGTCGCAGTTCCAGGGATTTACCCACTTCTTCGAATTCCTGATGAGTGCGACCTAGCAGGTGATTGACTGTATTCTGCGTTCTCATGATTAGTCAAACGGGAATATAACTAATATTCTCCTGCACTCGTGCAATGCTCACCACAGATCATTCGGAATGGTGCTGAAATTCCGTGAAGTTTATCCCGGCACTGCAGTTGTATTCACCACAGACGTGCATCACTTCTGTAGTACGTCTGAAACGCTTATCGAATACACTCAGTTGATGGGAAACGTTTTGCGCACGACCGTGTGGCAGACAGACTTGGGTACACAAGCCGAATTCGTCATACTGTGTGTGTGTGTGTGTGTGTGTGTGCGTGTGGCCGAATTGGCATAAACCTTGCATAAGCTACTATCGGTAAGAGATCGCACGTCTGTTAAACCTTCAGTTGCTGTAGTAAGTGCACTGACTANCATCTTCCTGCCTTGTCTTTGTTCTGATGATCACAAGCTACGGGACGAATTTCCGAGTACACGCGCTCCAAAACTTGCAACTATCCGCGAGCACTGGATCAGCAAATGCTGGAATTACGTGAGTCAGGCCTGAACTGAGATTACATATACGTGCCCACACACTATTGATACACACCACAGTAATTCCAATNGTACTTTTGAAAATCCGCGAACCAATAGTAGGAAATTGAAAGGTCACGAAAAACTCATTCCTTTTTTTGTTATGCAGGCCATCGAGTGACTTTATGGTTACGTTTTGATGGCTGTTATCAAACTGAATTCATCAGTGAGATGTCACGGTTAGAGGTCGAGAAATTATCAATTTTCGGACGGTAAATTTATGATAAGCAGAAAACGTTTGGTATATTTTGCAATCTTTTGTTCTAAAGCCTGAGAAGCTACTGTAAAGCCCGAAGTTATCTTGGGGAGGAACTTTCGCGATCCAAGTTTTTGCTTATTTGATCAAATTACGCTCATCAGAGCAACTTTAATTGAAACGGACAGCTTCAAAATATCAAAATCAGATCAGAAATTTTGTGACATAGTAATGCTTCTTAGGCCTCTTGACAGACGTTTTTGTTTTACCCTCTTTTCACTTGACGTGTCCAGTTGCGGCTAATCTAAATGGCTGTGTCAAGAGAGCAGTGTGGAGAACTTTGATTTGATAATATTTACGCACGTGACATGCATCCAGGACAGAGACCATAGCAGAGCTG